CACGTCACTCTCCCACATGCGAAAATGAAAAAAATTGGAAGGGAGAGTGACGTGGCGAGTGACGTGGCAGGTGTCAGAAGTCCACGTAAGCATTTTTTACATGTTGGCATACCACGTCAGCTATTCCAGTTAAGTTAACGTGCCACGTGAGCAAAATTTGACGGAGGGACTAAAAAGGGGCCGGATTTTAAACTTTAGGGATCAAAAAGGGGATTTTTTCGGTACAGGGACCAAAAAGGAGCTTTTTTTTATAGTAGAGGGACCAAAAAGGGTATTTAACCAAGCTTAATTAAGACTTGCTCTTGTAAATTCAGTGCTCTGCCAAGCTCTAACTTGTTGAGCAGCCTCTCGAAAATAGCAGTTAAAAAAGCACTGTTAGCAATAGAGAAGACTTCCATTGAGCACGACAAGTTTTCTATAAATTAAGAGCATGCTTACTATAATTGTTGAAAATTCAAAAAAAAAAAAAAGAAAAGAAAAAGGAAAAAGAAAAAAAAGGAAAGTAAAAGTTGAAATATAGAATTTGTTTAGTTGAAACTTTGGAAACTAAAAACTGTGCATAAAGAAGGGAGAAGAGAGAGAGAGAGAAAGAATAAGAAGAAGAAAAAAGAAGGATGATCTGATTTTGATTTTAATTTTGCAAAAGTAATAGATTTAGGGTTTTGAATCTGAAAAGGAAATGACGAGAAACGAAGATAACTGTGATTTTTGGGGAACTTGATTGAAACTGGAAAAAGAGAAAACAAAATTTTTATGTGGGCCCCACTAAAAAGAGAAACTGAGAAGATGACAATCTGACGTGTAAAAAAAATGCCACGGGTGACAATATTTTCTTTGTTGGATATACATGTCATCAAAATTTTAAAAAGCCAATGATTTTGTGGCATCTTAACGTGCCACATGTGCATTTAACTGATGGAAGGACCATTTTGGTACCGAAAATGAAAGTTTAAGGATAATTTTGTACTTTTTAAAATTGAAGGACATTTTTGGTACTAAAGTGAAAAGTTGAGGGACCAAAATGGTACTTTAACCAAATTTTTATTATATTTATAATTACATATATTTACACTAATAATTAATGTATAACAAATTAACTTTCATAATTTTTTAATTGATTATAAAGATGAATTAAATTAGGTATATCTTTAGTTGGTTAAAAGTGTAATTATATATATATTATTGTAGCATATGTAATTTTAAAAGGAAAAATGCTAAATTTGATTCCTCAATTTTAAGATTTTACATAATTTTTGTCCCTTAACTTTTTTTTTGCTTATTTTGGTCCCTCAATTATGAGTAATTTACATTTTTAGTCCTTCCATCAATGTGCTAAACAAACTTAATAGACTAATTGACAGAAGAACTCAAAATGTACATTATTCATAGTTGAAGGACCAATATGAGCAGGACCAATATGAGCAAAAAAAAAGTTGAGGGACGAAAATTGTGTAAAATCTTAAAGTTGATGGATCAAAATTGATATTTATGATTCTAGTGCTTGTTATATAATATTAAGATATTGTTGAATTTTTAAGGCACGTACTACTTAATTATGGGAGAAGATCGGAGTTGGATGTATCATTGTCAAGATGAAATGGGGTATTGGAACAATGAATTTAATGCTAGGGTAGAGATTTTCTTAGATTTTGCATTCTCACAAACAGACCTGATGTTTTGTGCAAAGCATATGATTCGATATCCATGTAGTAAGTGTTGGAATAGAGAATAGCATCATCGACGCAAAGTGCAATCTCATCTCATTAAGAACGGCTTCATGGATGGGTATTTTATTTGGAAAAGACACTAAGAAATTATTCATAGAAAACAGCGTTGCACCCAAGTGGGTGAATAATCAAGTGTCGTTGCTGCTGCTGTTATGAATAATGTTCCAAGTGTCGATCAACTCAAAGACATGCTTCATGATGCCATGGGACCAAATTTTTTTAATAATGAAAATAGTGCCACAGGGGCAGAAGATGCAACACAATTTGATGCTAGTTTTGATAATCCATATGGTGTTAGTATAGAATCGATATTTGAGGAGCCAAGAGGAGATGCAAAAGAGTTCTTTGATCTTTTGCGAGCAACTGACACACCTCTTTTTGATGGGTGTGATGATGGTGTCACTGTCTTAAAGTGGGTGTGTGAGCTCATGAGTGCAAAAATACTTTTTAACATGAGTGTTACTAATTGGGACTATGTGCTAAACCGTAGTCTAATGGCTTTCAAAAAAGTTGATCGGGAGAAATTGCCAATAGATTATTATAGTGCCAAGAAGATGTTGAGGCGTCTAGGTCTCAGGTATAAAAAGTATGAACAATTGCATTTTGTATTATGGAGAATATGAAAGCTAGTGTTATTTACAGTGCTCGGTATGTGAAGAGCCACGATTTAAGCAGCATGATGTGCATTTTGCTAAGCCTATACTAAAAAAGTCGTTATGGTATCTTCCAATTATTCCTAGACTTCAGAGATTGTACATGTCAAGGAAAACTGCCGAGTATATGACCTGACATTTAAATTATTTGAATTAAACATTTGTATTTACTTTATATTTGTAGTAGACAATGGAGACTTATATATTTATAGTAAATTAACAAAATTTTTTAGCATTTTATATGATAAATATCATAAATTATGTAAAAATAATTTCACATTATCAAATATGTTAATTTAAATATCAATTAAATCCTTTACATGTAAAAAATATCAAATTAAATGAAATACTTATACACAGACCAGTTTCAGTATGTATAACAACTGCAATGAATACACAAATGACAGACTGTTTGTTGAGCCTCACATGTATATAAGGACCGAAACTGGTCCGTATCTATCTTTATGTAGATATATGGACCGGTTGCTATCCGTATATACATGTGAGATTCAACGCTGAGCCTCACATATATACGGACTGGTATTGGTCCCTATATCTACACGAAGATATATACGAACCGATACATGTGAGCCTCAACGCTGAGTCCACATATATACGGACTGATACCGGTCCATATATCTATATAAAGATATATACAGACCAGCTTCGGTCTGTATATACATGTGAGGATTTAGGGTTTAGGGTTTAGGGTTGAGCCTTACATATATACGAACTAATACCGATCTGTATATCTTTTACATATATATACGGACCGATTTTGGTCCAAATATATACTAACTTGCAGCTTTTTCATTTGTTTCCTTATCTCGTGCTCAATTCATTTTACTCTCATTTTAAACCATAAATTCCGAATGTTTGCGTGCCAAAGTGATTAACCTCAATCGAAAAAAATCAATTTTAGTTGCGTGTGGCTAGGAAAGGACATTACCTAACCTTAAATCTAGTAACCTTATACTTATACATTCATGGTTTCGCAACGATGTCATCCCGTACCATCGTTAGATAATTTCAGGTGGACAATCGATGGTTTTGGGGTTGCAAGGGATTGTAGTATCGATGTACACGCAATTGATTTTCGTAACAATGGAATTGGGGCATGGGAAAATAGTGATGTCCTTAAATGAAAAGAATAAAACAGTGCATTGGGAGAAGCTTTTGGATTTTTGCAATATATTCGGACCAAACACGGGCTAAAAAAGTGAAAGCAAAGAAGTTTCTATATGCTGGGCATATATTCGAACCTACCCGGTCCAAATTTAAATATACGGACTGGTATCGGTTCATATATATGTCAGTGTATAGTTTTTTTCAAGTGTTACCTTATTTTGCTCACATTTTGAACAGTAAGATTTAAAATGCTTGCATGCCAACGGAACTAACCTTTGCTAAATAATCTTAGGCTTCTGCATTTGTGGCTCCAAAATCATAAGACCTAACCTTAAAGCTAATAATCGTGCATTTATATGTTTGTAATTTTACAACAACATTATCCTACGCTACCGTTAGACAATTTTAGATAGACAACCAATGATTCCGGGGTTACGGGGGAGTGTAGTGTCGATTTGCATGGAATTGCCATTCGTAGCAACAGAATCAGGGCACGAGAGAGTAGTGATTTACTTACATCAAAAGAATAAAAAAGTATAATGTCTTAGATGCTTAGTATATATTCGGACCAAATACAGTATGAATATAATATTCGGACCAGGTTTGGTCCGAATATAGCAAATTGCAACACTGAGAATGGAAACTCTTTGTTGGTTCCCGTTTATTTATTTACAGACCGATTTCGGTTTGTAACTTTGTGCATCAAAATTCCACCAGAAATCAAACTTTTATTTAGTTGGCGCTTAATTAACTATTTACAGACCGATTACAATCCGTAAAGTTTTGCCTCCAAGAAAATTTCATTGAAAATTAAACTTTTTTCAAGATTGGCAGTTAATTATTTATTTATGGACCGGTTTCGGTCCGTATATTTTTGCTGCCAAAATTTCGCTAAAAATTAAACTTTTTTTGTGTGTGCTGAGTTTAATTATTTATTTTCGAACTGAGTTTCATTCGTAAATTTGTGCCACCAAAATTTTCAATGAAAATTGAAGCTCTCCGTTGGGCGGTTGTTTGGTGTTGATTTGTTATATTCGGACCGCTTTCAGTCCATTTAAAACCTATAAATTACCAACTTCTTCTCAATCCTTTCCTCATTTTTCTGATTTCTCTTCTTCATCTCTTTCTTTTTTCTTCTTCATCTCCTTCGTAACTGGGTTGTCTTACTTTGTTCCTTCCTCTTCTTTCTCATTTCCTCTCTTTTTTCTCTACTCCTTTTATTCTCTTTCCTCTCTTCTTTCTCTCCACCTCTCTTTCCTCTCTTCTTTCTCTACACTTCTTATTATTCTTCACCTTTTCTTTCCCTTTGGATTTTCTATCTTTCACCGTCTTTTTTATTCCACTCTTCTTTTTTTTTTTCTTCCATAACATGTTGTAAATTTTTTTAAAGTCTTATAATGTTTTTGATATTGGTATATTTTTATTATTTATATTTTGTTTACTAACTTCTTTTTCTTCTGTTTTTTTTTGTAGGTTTCATATTATAAAAATTTGGTGAATTTTAAATTTTCTCTTATCTATATGTTTATTTTAATTTCTTGTATTTTCTTTTATATTTATGCTTATTTGGTTTCTTTTTCTTTTGTAGGAAATGGATAAAATTTCAAGTAAATTGATTATAGGTAATGATTTAATAAACTTTTTTCTTTATTTTGTTATAATTTGTATTATATATTCTTTAATTTTTACTTATATTTCTATTTCATTATTTATTTACAATTATAATTATTATTGATGATTTTTTTTAAATTACCAATATTATATTGTACTTAAAATTTATTTTATTTAAAATTTTTATATGTTGTATTCTTAAAATTTTAATTTATCTA